GGGGGGGGGGAAGGAGAGCAATCCCGGCCCGCGAAGAATTTCCTTTAAGGGCCCGCCGGGATGGGAAAGGGAGGAGTTCCAAAGCTGAAGCTGAAGGATGGCTCTGGGAGGAAGGGAAATGAGAGGAAACTGAGGGCCTGAACAGACTGCCAGAAATAATCCTTCTTGATACCACTTTAACTGGCCTGGCTCAATGCTAGGGAGTCATGGGAACTGTAGTTTTTTTCTGAGACATTGAGCCGTCTCTGTCAGAGAGCTCTGATGCCACAATAAACTACAGTTCCCATGATTCCCTAGCACTGAGCCAGGACAATTAAAGTGGCCTCAAGCGGCATTATTTCTGACAGTCTGTTCAGGCCCTGAGGCACTGCGGAAATAATCCGGTTTGAGACTCCTCTAACTGCCCTAGCTCAGTGCTACTAGGGAATCCTGGGAACTGTAGTTTGTTGTGGCAACTTAGCTCTTTCTGACAGGGAAGGTTAAACATCTGACAAAGCTACAAATCCCAGAATTCCCTAACATTGAACCATGGCAGTTAAAATGGTCTTTCCTGATGCTACATTGGAGAAATAAAACAGTTAGACAGCCGTAACTCAATGCTGTGGAATTCTGGGATTTGTAGTTTGCTGTGGCACCAGGGCTCTTTCTGACAGAGAAGGCTAAATGCCTCACAAAACTACAGCTCCCATCATTCCATAGCACTGGGCCGGGGCAGTTAAAGTGGTCTCAAACTGGATTATTTCTGCAGTGTGTTTTGGACCTTGGCCAGTGTTGCAGTGATTTAAAAAATAGAGATCTCATACAATCAGGCAGCCCTGTTGATCCCAGTGGGTTTAGGAGGTGCTCCCAACTCTGCACAGGAGGAGAAGGTTGCATGCAATAAATACCTAGAGTCAGGCCTTCATATCAAGCATCCAGTCTAGGAAAATATTTTTAAAATATATACATTCCAATACATAAACCTTGATTTTGCCATTTTATATAAGAGACATCATTTTACCCCACCATTGTATTTAATGGGATTTGAGCATCCAAGGATTTTGGTATCCAGGGGGGTCCTGAAACCAAACCCCAGTGGAGACCAAGCGTCCACTGTATAAGGGCCTGAACAGACTGCCAGAAATAATCCAGCTTGAGCACTTTAACTGCTTTGGTTCAGTGCTAGGGAATCATGGAAACTGTATTTTATTGTGGCATCAGGGCTCCCTGACAGAGAAGGCTCAATGTCTCAGAAGAACTACAATTCCCATAATTCCCAAGCATTGAGCCAGGACAGTTAAAGTGGTCTGAAGCTGGATTATTTCTGGCAGTCTGTTCAGGCCCTAAGATTTCATAGCTCCTGCACCTCTTGGCTTGAGACATTTCCTCACCAACCCATTAATTGAGCCCATGCCACCATGCTAGACTACCAGCGTGGTGCGAGTATAAACCAAGTCCCTGTTGTTGTTGTGGTTGTTGTTGTTGTTCACTGCCCTTTATTTGGCCTTGACTCATGGCAGTCCTGTGGATGAGACATGTTCAAGACAGATGCACGCACACCCCATCTTCAACTGCCCTGCTCAGGTCTTGCAAGCTCATGGCCATGGCCTCCTTGATTGAGTCTGTCCATCTAGTGTGTGATCTTCCTCTCTTTCTGCTTTTCTCCACCTTTCCTAGCATTACAGTTGTCCCTCCCCATTCGTGGACTATGAGTCCATGGTCTTGGTTCTTCGCAGACTGGCAAGCGCCGTGGGATAAAATGGTGCACATGCCCGCAGCGTACATGCAGGACTGCATGCAGGAGCTCGTGACCATTCAAGCCTATGGGGCTTGAATATTTGCAGTTTTTCATTTTCACAGGGGGGCGGAACAGATCCCCCACGAAAACGACGGGATGACTGTATTGCCTTTTCTAATGTGTCGTGCCTTCTTGTGATGTGGCCAAAGTACAACAGCCTCAATTTCATCATCTTGGCTTCCAGGGAGAGTTCAGGCTTAATCTGTCCTAGGACCCATTTGTTTGTCTTTTTGGCCGTCCAGGATATCCTTGGCACTCTTCTCCAGCACCACATCTCAAAAATTAATTTATTTTCTTCCTATCCGCTTTCTTCACTGTCCAACTGTCATATCTATGCAAGGTGATGGGGAATACAATGGTTGAACTATCCTCACTTTAGTGTTCAGAGTTATATATTTGCACTTTATGACCTTGTCTAATTCTTTCATAGCTGCCCTTCCCAATATTAATTTTCTTTTTATATATTGGTTTCATATATATCTCCTTCTTTGGAGGTCTTTAAATAGAGGCTGGATGGCCATCTCTCAGGGATGCTTTGATTGAGAGTTCTTGATGGCAGGGGTTGGACTTGATGGCCCTTGTGGTCTCTTCCAAAAATGATTCTACGACTGCAATTCCCATTCTAATTAGTGATTGATCCAAGGTACAGGAAAATCCCTGTCATTTCCATTAAAAGGATTTCAAAAACAATGATGATTGCCATTCTAGCCTCTCATTCTTTTGCCTATTGGAAGAGATAGAATGTGGCTTTGTGTTACTAGTAAGTGATTTCACAATAACCTGTCTTTATCTTATCAACAGTTGTTTTGCCACTATGAAATAAGGCAAAAGTCTGAAAGTGTGCTTTAATGGTCCAAGCATGAGAGAGGCCATGGATCAGGAACCGCTGCCCACCATGCAAGACCAGGCTGAGGTGTTTGGGGTCCTGGAGCAGTTCCTAAATAAGACATCCTTTATGCTTGTGGCACTGCTGGGCAGACAGAAACCCTCAGTGAGGCTGGAGTACGGTAGGTATCTTCTTGGGAGTGAGGAAGGGTGCACTTTT